TGTTGTTCTCTTTCTTGCTTTCGTTATTGTTATAAATAATAAAAATAAAAATAAAAATAGAGATAGATATATAGATAGAGATATAGAGATATATAAATAAAAAAATAAAATATGAGTATATATATATATATATATATATGTTTTTAATTTTTGTCTTTCTATATACATACAAAGAGACACAGACACAGAGAGAGACAGAGAGAGTGAGTGTATATATATATATATATATATATATATATATATATCTCTCTCTCTCTCTCTCTCTCTCTCTCTCACTCTCTCTCTCTCTCTATATATATATATATATATATATATATATATATATATATATATATATATATATATATATATATATGACTAAATGTCCACCTTTCTATGATCTCACACATCTTCATCATCTTAATTATACATGCTTGCTTTCCCCTGCCAGCCTGTCAATACTGGTCAACAACATCAGATATGAATCAGCATTTGAATCCAGCCCTATTTGCATTATAAACGCAGACAAAATCCCGCATTCACTTCAATATAGGAATGAAAGCAGAAACGACAGCTCCACATCAGTATCTTAAAGGCAATTGCATTAAAAGGCACTGAAGATGCTAACGTCGACTTGTACATGGCAAAGAAATCAATAACAGCTCTTTCAGGCAATCCAGGAAATCATATCCATCTGAAAACCTTTCATCTCGACCATCTCCTAATATGAAGGAAATGCAGCGCACGCACAGGTGAGAGAGACCAGAGTTCAGCATTGAAAAGCTTGATGGTAAATAATCACTAGTCAAAACACAACACTTAAATGTCTAGAGAGATCAAAATACGCGACACTGTCTCTGTGATGTTCTGAATCAGAGATATCGATGTTGCACCACCGTTTGGTGGCTGGTAAGATGTTGCTAGGGGGTTGCCCTTAAATAAGCCCGTACATCCAATCTTCATTATCCTAGTTTTGAAGAAACCCTCCATGCACCACATCTCCAGCTTTCCTCATCTTCCAGAGGGAGCTATTAAGCACTACCTGATCTCGAAGCCCCTGCCATGCTACCAGGTGGGAGCCCTGGGCTCAAGTATCTCCGAGCTCAGGGTTCTCTCCCAGGACAGCATGCCAAATCTGCAAATTATATCAAGCAATAGCTAAGTGTGAACTATTGAAATGGGTGACATGGTGGCTAAGTGATTAGCACTGTCGCCTCACAGCAGGAAAGTTGCTGGTTCGAGTCCCGGCTTGGTCGGTTGGTGGAGTTTGCATGTTCTCCCCGTGTTGGCGCGGGTTTCCTCCGGGTGTTCCGGTGAATGAATGAATGTTTTTAGGTTTTAAAGGTTATTACGGATGAGTTTATTAATGTAATGTCTTTCTCATAATGTAATAAGTGTTATTGTCCATATCTAATGACATTGAGAAAATTGTTACAATATGAACATTGCATTACAATATTACTTTATAATATTATTATTACACAATGTGCAGTTTTTATGTTAAATGCACACTGTAAAAAAGCATCCATACATTATCATTTACCATATTTGAGGATTCATAATTTCTCTCTGCTTCTGAATTGCATCATGTGATCTTGATCTTTCTTCCAGCAACGTTTAACCTTGAAAAGTTGGAAAAAAAGTGACATTTTTTATAGTTTAAAGTGATGTATTGTCTGGGTTGGTGTAGTATATTATGCTACAGAAACATTTTCTGTTATTTTACAGACTCATTTCTCTATAAATCATGTCTTAAACATGATGTTATTAACTAAAATGTCAATAAAAGTCACTTTGCTAAACTGTAGAGGGGAATTTTCAACACCAAAAATCATCAGAGCAGAGATCAACATCCCATAATGCAACCGCAAATAAACAGAAAACACTTAAAATGCAGAAACTGCTAATTACCAGACATTTACTTTGCAGTGTTTACATTATAAGATGCTGCAAATGCTGATGCACACAGCTTTCAAGAGTGCATGGAAATGTAATCATTTCCCGCATGTGTTGGTTCTATATAACATAAAACGCAGGAGCGCGAGTCTGAGCAGAGCTGAAGGTGTGGGACCTGCAGATGAATGTCATTGCTCCTTATTCCAGATGAAACATGATTGTAAACATTGATGTGCGTCTTACAGAAGTACCGATGCGAGGCTATTAACCTCTTTCACTTCAGAGACAAGATGGACAAAATCTCATCAGCTCAGAGTCTCTGGTCACACACACACAGACAGACAGAGAGAGATGAAGAGCAGCAAAGCATTATAAGGGTAAGACAAAGTGTTTTAGGCTCTATATATACTGTGGGGTTTATATACTGTATATTTAGGGTTATTTATTTTGGTGTTTATAATATAATGGTGCATTCAACACTAAAAAGAGATTAGTTTCTTACGCCCCATTCACACGGAGCGTCAGCTTCAACACTTCTCATTCACTTTGAATGGGTGATGTCAGGCATTGACGAACTGCATTGTGGATCCGTCAGCGCCGCTTCAGAGGCATTGCTCACTGCAAAAGTTGGGACTCAAC